AACGCTTACGACAACGACGAGGAGGATGATGTGACACTGCCGGTGGATTGTGCATGAGAGTGGAGCTGTCTCGAAGCCCGAGAGGCGGAACGATGTCTTGGTTGTATCGGGTATCACTTCAGCAGATTGGCATGAAGAGCCAGAGCATCGTCACTGGCGAAGCGCACAATCGAGCCGTCTGCCACCACCTTGGCCAGCTCATATGGGTAAAGCAAATTTGGCTGCAATACACACTGCACTACATCGCACAGCACGATGGCAAGGCTGTGCCCAATCAACCAGAACCGAAAGGAACTACCACACTGCGATGTGTATGTCTCAGCCAAGCCGATCTGGAGCGAGATGCGATGACAGCATCCGAAGCTTTTCCGAGGCGCAGCTTCCGCACCTTTCAGGGCTCAGTATACTTTTCAGGACATACCTGCCCCTCGGGCCTCGGTGGGCCAACAGCAATTGCAGCTTTCCGAAAATTCCACTTGGCACGATTCTCCGTCCGATGCGTCTTTAGCTGAGGGTTCGTGACGAATCTGGCAGTGAGGCAGGCTCAGCCCTCTGGTAAGAGTCGATGGCTTCACTTCACGGCTGCCATAGTCTAGAGCGAAAATGCTTCCGCCGGACTGGCTCGCGAGATCAATGGTGCAGCTTTCGTTTTTTGCTGGAGGCACACGCAGATTTTGGCTAGCAACCATGCGTCGGCGAAACTTCCATGCGGTAATCGGTACTTCAAAACTTCGCCTGCCTGCGAAGGGCCGACCATGGTCTCTTCAGCAATGACTACGCCGCGTCCAACTTCGCTCTGGAGGGTAAGAGCCTGAACTCGGTGCTAAGAATGGCACTGTCACCGCCCAGCCATAAGCCTACGCTTCGACAGCTTCGAGATGAGGAGTATTTGGAGCATGTGAGTGCCGAGGCTGAGGCTAAAAGTCTGGCGATGTCATGTCTCCTGGTCACCACTTTGCTGTCTGCCGCTGTTCGCTGCTTGTCGGAAAGCTTTACTCCTCAGACTTCTCAGCTTGTCCCTTGCGAGTCTAGCGGGTATGCGGCAGCGGGCAAGTGGCTACGGCTACGGAACTCGATCCGTGCTGCCTCGCATAAGCAGGGTACCGCACCAAGAAACTTCAAGGTACACCTTGCTGAAGTTGTGTCCTCCAGGCCCTCTGCCACAATTACCATTGACACACCAACCGTCACTCTCCCCGCATGCTGCCTGGGGGGTGGTGCCCTTCGCATCCACGACCTGGAATCCTTAACCGGCGGCGGCTAAAGGAAGGATGAATGCGTACTAAAGGCAGCAGCTTGTTTGGTTGCCAAAGTCGAGCTGTTTTGCCCAGGCTCGAAGCACATCGCCGCCAGAGCGGTGTGCGAGAACAACCCAGCCATCCGCATCCGTTCCCAAAGCCTCAGTTCTCGGAAACTCTGCACGTTCGCGGCTGTCACCTGAACATCTTACTCTGTGGAGCCTGAGACTGAGGCCATGTTGTACAGCCTGTCAAAGGGCATGACAATACCTTGCCGAGAGTCCAGATCGCGGCGAGCATCCGGCGAGAGGGTGCCATCATCATGAAGGAAGAAATAGTCCTGAGCTCAAACGAACACAGGGCCCCTTCACATGAGCCGTGCGCATCTCACACTTCACGTCTGGGTTGCATCCACAACAAAACGGCAGCATGCATACCAATGCATACACTTCTAACTCTTCTACACAGCCCATGCAACCATAGACGCGTTCAAGACCGGGACGGTTTGCGTGCAGTTAATGAGTCGATCCCTGAGCTGGCCCTCTTGCTTACCTCGCAGCAGACAGTTGCACCTTGAGTGACCGTAACCTCCAATTTCGGCCAAATGCTATGTTAAGCTCGCAAGAACGAATCCCAAACCCTTAATATCACATCCAATGGAGCCCTTCGCAGACGCGGACCTCTCAGTCCTCAGTCCTAGACCCCACGCACCAAAAGTTTCGAACATCCACCATACTCGAATACTGCTGGGCCGCATTGACAAGGTTTTGACAGGTGCAAAGCACCACTGGACTGCCTGCCTTGACCACCGCGCGGATGTCCTGTGACTTGGGGTCTGCGAGGCTTGGCAGCTCTGCAACCCTTCTTCCGTTAACGAGGTAGCTTCGGTAGGGGGTGTCGGCCCCCTGTTGGGAGCTGCTCCTGCCCAATGCAATACAGTAGCAGGGAATAGCAGACAAGACCGACGACTGCCAACTCCATAAGAGGATCTAAACACTTCAAAACGTGACGGCCTCTCTTTGAGCCCCAAACTCGGCGCGAAGTCCTTGACGTACCTTACGATGCCATCTTCCTTGCATGCAGCAAGATATCAAGTTTGCAAGTCGCGTCTGATGCGAGAAGACACAAAGCTGAAAGACATGGCCGACGCTTCGTGCAGCGAAAGTCTGCCGGGTGGCCAGGACTTTGGCTCGCAGGGTCGGCGATGCGCGAGCGAAGCTGATGAAGCTGTTGAAGTCTTCTAGGTTGCTCAGCCAACCTTTGGGCGGGGACGGCAAGAGGCAAGATTGAATTGCCCATAGTGTAGTCGGACTTGGAACGGGAGCTCTCAAGATGCTGGCAGAGCAATTGGCCCTTCGCCTATTTGTTCCTAAACCAACACAAGCACAAGATTCATTCATGATATTCCATGATTATGCTCACTAGTCCAATGGTTGCCATCACGACAGAGTGCGATGCTCGTCATCGTCATCTCCCGGAAACAGCGGGCCCATGTGGCTCGTCAGGAAGCAGACCTCCAAGTGAGGGAAAGAAAAACGTGTGGTACTAGCCCGGATACGAATCCGTACAGCTTTATGGCCTCGGCACTGCCCAGGTATTCTGTCCTGATTGAGCCATGTTGAACCGTAAGTCCCGCACAACCGATAGCCCTGAAGGCCGTGACTGAGCAATGAAGTCTTATCAAGGGGAAACGCCCTCAGTCCGCTTGGCCCGCGCGGGGCCTCGGCATCGAAGAGGAGCTGATCCACCTGAGTCGAATATGCTTCAAGACAGCAAGGCTCTTGACATCTCAGCATTTGTTAAATTGTTTGAAGATGCTATGCTACCGATGCTACCTTTCTTCTGCCTGGCTCTCTCCAGCTCTTGCTCGCGCAGGGTTGGTCGGATTTGGCTCTACCGGACCTTCTGCCGAGGCCGGCGGGTCCTGAGAGATGCGAAGCTACGACCACTGTTGGTAGCCTTCTGTCAAGGTGTCGCGAAGCAGATGACTGCAGCTCTTGCTGTGAACCGCAAACTTCAAGAATAGGTATCTTTAGAGAAACCTTTCAAGAGCCTTCGGCACAATAAGGTCTTGCCCGTCCAACTTCATCATGAAGCGGCTGAAGTGTTCTTCATCGATGGTCCCATTGCCGTGCATGAGCACCAATATGTTGTAGCTGTGGAACTTCTCATGCGTCTCTGGGTATGTCTCATCCGGAGTGACCCATGGGGGCACGAGCCATGTGTCTCTTACATACTTCCGTCCTCCGTCAAAGCGCGTCATGTGCCAAAGCATTGACCCGATCTCGTCTTTTTTCGGAAAAGGTTTCTGAAAAAGGGACTCCACAACTTTGCAATAGTCTCCATCGCCCATCTCGGCTGGGCAGTAGAAACGAACGTTGTACTGGCCCCATTCGATGACCGGCACCATGTAACCGCCAGGAAAGTAGGGACCAATTCCGCCAAACTCAAGGCTTGGAACTCCAGACTGAGCTGTGACCTCAGTCCCAGCTACTTTGGGCGCTGTTTTCTTCTCTGGAACGGCAGATTCAGTTTGCAGTGCCGTGCCATACCACGCTACACTGGTGCTGTACTTCTCTTCCTTGGGGTGTGGGTTCAGGATCAACTTCAGGGTTCCAGCGAACAAACACCAATACTCGCACAGGGACTACATGTGTGAAGATACACGGGTATACGTTGTACCACGAGATCACGCACGCTTGTACAGGCTTCTGTTCTTCCGTATGCCTCTCTATCCATCTCCGTAGATGCCGCGAAGAGATGCCAACAGTACAACAAGCGGCTGTTCCCATGCTGATGTCAGCTGCTCCGACCGAAGGCTCCCAGGTTGCGTAGGAGAAATCAATCCAAGCCATCGGACCCATCTGCTCGAACCTGAGTCCACACCGAGTGTAATTCCAGCACATCGATTTCGAAGTGCTGTGCTCGGAATCCCGATTGGCGTTTCATGTCATGTCTAGGTGGGGGAGCACGAAACCGTAATTTTATAGATATCATACCTACTGCCCAGGAGCATGTACACGCCGTTCAATGGACCCCTAGGTTCAGCTCCTCCTTTCAAGCCAGCGTTCTGCAAGAACTCCCTGATCTGTTCATTCGGCACTGTCAGCGCCTTGTCCCCCGCTGTCGGCACGTAGGCGGGAACAAACTTACCAGCAGCATAGAACAAGGGAGTGATGTCTACTTTGACCAAGCCAGTGGCAACGAAAACAGCAAAGAGTGGAACCGTTATAAGTTATAAGGCTGCAGCATCCAGCGATAGCCATTCTGGCAGGTTTTCGAACCTATTCTCGGCAAGTCCTGGTGCTAATGACAGCTCCTGATTGTGCTTGAGCCGGTTCTCCATCTGGAAAAGACGTAGACATCGACAGATTTGTCATGTTGGGTCCACATGTCTGTAGAAAGCGTAGCGATGCTCCATGTGTCACCCGCACGCGAACACACCAATTTTTATATAGGGTGTTGATGAAGTGACCGCCTGCCCTGACACTCACAGTGAATTCGGATATCAGCACTTCTACTCAGGACTGACTCGCGTGTAGAAATTCCGTAGGCCCAAACTCGAAACCACGTCATCGACAGCTCTAGGAATTCTGGAACTTGCAAGCCGACACCAGGCACAGTAGAAAGCCGTCGGGCTGGAACCAGGTGAGACATGCCAATGTTTGATGGATGCGAGAAATATCTCGTGGCCCTGTTACGAGGCTCGCCTGAACTCGCAACATGGCCAAGCCGCGTCTTCACTGTCAGTGGAGGCGGCACACGCAGCGAGGTAGGCCTGCAAAAGGCTTGGCAAAAGATGTATGTGTATGTGTGTGTATAGGACTGCTCAAGACTTGTTCGGCTGGGTTTCAGCGCTGGTATCGATTGAAAGATTGGACGGACAATGGCCGAGATGGGTTACAGAGTTGCCTTAACCTTTGTTATTCGGCTGAGCCGGACATCATCCTTCGTGCACGATGCACTGGCCATCTTGTACGCTGAGGGTACGCCTAGGCAAGACTGAACTCGTTGAGATGAAACGCAAGGGCCGCAAGCAACTGCCTTCGAACTAAGGCTGCAGTTGTGCATGCCGCCGTTCATTATGCGATTGAAGAACCTACTTGTAATCCGTGTAGTACCCTTCGACCAGAACACTTGGATCATAAGTCGGACCATGTCAGACATGTCATGACCCTGAAGTAATTGATGCATGCCAGACCCCTGAACACGATCGGCAACTGTGACCTTGACGAAGAGCCTCTTCTGGCCCAAGTCTTTCCTTGGAATACTGGACCATACACAGCGAGATTTGCCTAAAACACCTTGGGAAGTCTCCGGTTTCGATTCTTGCAAGGACAGTCATGCAGAACATGAGAACTTAATGCCGCGGGCCACAGACCTCTGAGGTGATGCCGCCCTCGTCTATCTGGGGTTTTGCAATCGATGATCTTCGAAATCAAACCCGCCAACCAGAAGCCAAACAACTACAGTGGGACGAGCGTGTTTTGCGGCTGCATGCACATGTTGCATTATGGCGAGGATCTCTCCAGAAGGAACTTCTGAAGTGAGCATAGTGAGCTCAAAGGCAGCATCAACGCCCGACGCACCGCAAATCTCAATTCGGGGGCGAGCGTCGGGCAGCAAACTCGGACTACAGTGGCCAGGTCTTGCGCTGCGTGGGCGACCACCTTGGCTGATCTCAAGGTGGGTGCGTGCTGTCCTCGGGGCATCCTACGTAGTCGGGCAACAGTCCATTCAAAGTCGATGATGCGCAGCCCGTCATCGGTTTGCAGCCTGGGCGACGGCTGGGTGAAGCAGCCTCCGCTGGATTCTACATTTCTACATACTTTGTTCGCGTCCCTTTCGTCAAGTCGGACTCCGAGTCCAAGGAGCAGGTTGAACATGTGGATGTCCGCGTGCCTGCGGTCACCGGCATGCCCCCCCCGTGTACCGTTCGCAAGGGATACGGCTTTTATTGGATCTTCTGGGGTTCTTGACTTTCAAGCTGCGGTAATGCTGCTTGCTTTCGTCTTCCAAACACGTCCTAACAAGGCTTACCTCTGACCATCGCAGTCGAGCGACACGGTCACCGCCCGCGCGCCAATCTTCGTGGCGGGTGTGAAGGCCTGGACACGGCATCTTCCGGTGCAGTTTGCGAAGATCACTCATGTTGCACTTCAGAAGCACGTGTCGTTTTCTCGATTTCCTGCATGCAAAAGGTTTGAGCTTAGTGGATGCACGGCTAGATTCGTCGCAGCAGCAACAGAGTAGAGGTGCCTGGTCGCTCATCGCCAAACTTATCGATGAGCTCCCTGTGCCCTGTGTGCCTGCGGTCGCAGCCAGGCTGCCAAGGCCTCCTCTGACAGCTCTGCCAAGTTCTCCTCTCAAGTCTTTTTGTTGTTCAGGACAATGTGCGATTTTGCAGGGACGTGTCTTGACCAACACGAAGCTGAAATGCAGCGGGACACGACACGCCAGGCTGCCATTTTGCGTAAACATGCGTCAAAGATCCCCCAAGTCATGTTCATGAGCGGTGCACCAAAATGCGGGGCGTTTGCCTGAGACAGTCTGAAAACGAAGGCAACCCTGCTAAAGCACCACTCCTCGCGGCATGTGGAAGGCCACCTGGTTCTAAGCCGTCTAATTCCAGGCTGAACCGCTTTCGTAGAGCAAGGGATCGGGGATTTCCCCGGAATTCTAAAGCCTTCTGCAAAATCCACAGCCAAGAAACACGTGGGAGGCATCGGGAACCGATTCCAGGAAGCGCCAACGCTTTTTTAGCCGTGCTCGAAAAGGATCCTGGGAGGGCTGATGATCAATTGACAGCACATTGCGAAGAGAGTCTGTTTCAGCATTTAAGCAAAGCTCACCCTACGCAAGCTACGCACCAAATCCGACTGACAGTCAAGCAGCACCCCGGGGCCAGTGTTCGGTTGAGTCACATACCAAGTGGTCGGCCAGCTGTGCACGTCAGCGATCCTGTCTCGAGAGATTCACTCATAACTTCCTGATCTCTTGCCCAGGCTGCGAAACTCTCATCGATTCTTCTCTCGATAGATAGCAGTAGATAACATGCATAACATGCAGCATGCTCTCTCCGTGGGTGCGCGGGGAGACTAGGAAGAGTCTGCCGATCAGCCGGAACACAATCGCCCCAGCTCTTCCAGCACGGCATCCGATAACTCCTCAGTCTCAGCAGTGAACAGACGAAGTTTTACGAAAAGCTACAAAACGGTACGCAAAGCCCCCTCCAGTTGCATCCCAGTCGCAGGTCCTGTTCCCTCCCAAACCTTTCATGCGGCCACGGTTAAGGCTTCAAACGGCTTCCTTTTGCGGGATTGGATCGGATCTGAAGTGGTTCGAGAGATACGCCCGACTGCGGTCACGAGTGGAAGCATGGAAATCCACAAACAAAGACGACACCGTACCTTGCACAAGTGAGCTTGCTCGCCTCAGCGAACCAATCGCCACCGGCTGCAAGCCTTCTGGGTGCAGCACCGTGCGCAGAAAAAAGCCTTAGTCGAGGCTTGGGGCGCCTTTGAATTCTGAACACCGGCACAGTGACAGAACCTGCAAACGTGTGAGGAGGGCCGGTGTATGCTCGCGAGTTCAAAAGTATCAACACTGGATCACCTACGGTTCGATTTGATGTTCAGGAAATTCCATCGCCGGCCGGGTGGTTCACGGACTACGGAGGTCAATTGCTTTCCTTGTGTTGTGACAACACCCGTCAGTTTCAGTGAGCGCAGCATCGGCTATAGAGATCAATCAGGGGATGCCCTCGACATTTTGAAGCGGGTAGGTTTGCCACACACCCAACTTCTATCGAGGAGATTGGTGGATTGTGCGCAAGTCGTGAGGTATATGGAAAGCCAAAAGATCCGATGTTCAATTGCAGGCCAGCACTGGGCCAGCTGCACTGAAAGTATGCAAAGTAGATGCAGTGAATAATTACCTGCAACAACATGCCGCAACTTTCATCATCTCGCCCCAAAGACTTGAGCAATTCACCCTTTCCAGGATGAGTTAAATGCACATGCCACCAGCTCTCTCTCTCTCTCTCTCCCTCCCTCTCTCTCTCTCTCTCGCTCTCTCTCTCTCTCTCTCTTCTTCTTCCGCCGGGCATGAGGGGCTGTTAAGACCCCTCGGCCACTAGGGCCCCCCCATACTTTGTGGGGACTTTGGAGGAGTGTGAAATTAATTTCGTAGTTGTCCCCCTAGGTGGATCTTTTTTTTCTCTCTTTCTCTCTCTCTCTCTCGCTCTCACAGACATACCTACGCTCAGGCCTCGGACCGTCCGAAGCCCCCAAGCCTTGTCCGTGTTCATGCTAACCGCAGTTTCGCAACTCTGCAGCTGTGCCGGTTCGCTCTACCTTGGCTCTGGCTTCAAGCTTTTGGGCCTCAACGGAGTTCTGGACAAGGCAAAGCTGAGGCTAAGCTTTTGGCATGTCTGTTATCGATGGCCGATGCTGCCCAGTTTAGAACACTGACACAGGCTTAGACTGTGTGGCACTGTATGGGGCCAACGCGCTCATTTGACAACTTGTTGCCTGTAGTCCAAGGGGCTGAAAGAGGATCTTCCATGGCTTCCTGTGTTTGACGAAACGGTCAAAAATTCACCGATCCAACCTTTGGCTGCGAGCAAAGTAGGTCTCGCCATAACGAGACGAGCAGCTGACTTGTGATTGGCGTCCGAGCTTTTTGCTACAGCCTACACATTCAACTAACAGACGGAGTGTCAATGGTTGGAAGTGAGTCTCTTCTGGATTGAGGTCGCCACAGCCGCGCTTCTCTCAGCACCCGAGGTCATGGAAATTACAACTTCGTCAAAGCCGAACTGCTGAGCCCACGAAACCTGACCGACCAAACATGGACTGCTATGCAGTCCTCGTCCCAGCAATGAAGCGCCACGTGGGGGGGCTGCCTGAAGAATTCGGACAATTCCACGTGCCTATTATGGCACCTGCAGCTGCATGCCGCACGTTCGGTGACACGGATGCTACACGTAGGACCATCGTTCCGACACAGCTTTCACGGCAGCGGGCTGCATTGCATGGTATCTTAGTTGATGCTAAACATATCTAAACCCTACATCCGCAGTTTAAAAGATTCCGAGGCACGCTCCATCTGCGCTGACCTTGTACGTGGACAGCCTGCCCTGGCAAAGGTGCTTGAAACCGATGAGCGAAAAAGTCTCAGTGCTTGAGGCTGAGGGCTTGGGACAGAACTGCAGCTGTACGTCGCTGCGGAGCCCAGTTCTACAGCTTCTGGACCGGAGGCTCAGGCGGCTCAGATCCGAAAGAAAAGTGACGACTTAGCAATCAATCACAGTGCCTGACCACTCTTGCACTGCACTTGGATGCGCGATGGGTCGATGCCACTCCACTCGGGCCTGCAGAAACTGAAAGGTCTCTAAACAACGGCCCCAGCCCTTCTACTGTGCTTTGCCATCCTTCAGTTGTCGAAGGCTTCCCGACCGTTTCCCGAAACAGTACCAGCAGCGACAGTGGGGCAAGAATGAACGGCAAACATGTGCATCATCACTTGTCAACCGAGTGGCGGGGGGTTCTCAATCTTCTTTCTAATAGTGCTGCAGCTCGACTGACGGTTGACAGGATGAGAACATGGCTGTGGCTATGTCGCAAAAGGGGTGGGAACGTCGTGCGTGCTTTACTGCGACGATCGGTGGCCAAGAACCAGTCATGACGATGACCTGGCTGAGGCACCCCCCGTGGCGTCTGGGTCACTGCCAATTGTCAGAAAAGGTGTGCCTACTCCTCTACGATGTGCTGGCTGTAGCCGGGATAAACGTCTGAATTCCAGAAGCTTACAAAATCCATGAGGGCAACGATAGATCATCCGAATGGCACGACGTTTGCCATCATGATCGCAAGCTTGTCTTCCTTGGTGGCGAACAGCTACGGCCAAATTGTAGGAGCCCATGCCACTGTTCCAATGCCGCCCATTTGACAAAATCCAACAGATTTTCAAGATGCCGAAACAACTCCCTGCAGGGCTCTGACGGGTTCCCAAGCCTTGAGTCGATGCGCACTCCGTGGCTGCAGTTGGTCATGCGCTGCGGTTTACTCGAGCTTTAGATGCTTTGTTTCACGGTGTCAAGTTGCATGCTGCAGCAATCCAGTCCTGAAGAAAGTTGCTCCAGCGTGACCCCGTGTCTCAATGCTGCTAGAACGGAGAGATTTAACGAGTTCGCAGCGCGCTGACATCGCAAGTCGTAAAGTCCAACCGAGATTTCCCTCAAACTAAGAGCTGTAAATGGAATGTCATGTCCTCACCTGGCCAAAATGTTGCACTGTTCCACTCGTGTCTTGCACAGCTCACAGCCAGTGGCGCCGCAACAGGCACAATGCGCCACATCTCCTCTTGCGGACTTCTATTCACTATCCCTATCACTATCGCACATGTCGTGATCACTCACTTCAACGTCTCGCCGCCCTACTCTCTCTCAACCTCTCGCTCACTGACTCCCTCTCGGCTGGCAGGTAGCTACGAAAACGCTGGAACCTGTAAAACTTGGCCATGTTCATCCATGTTCAGTCATGCTGCGGAAACAAATCGTCAGTAGTGTCGATTTGTAAGTTCTTCCGTTTTATCATCCATCAGTGTCGCGTGTGGCCAGTACACTCCGACATAACTTGACATAACATAGCGGACCGTCTTGCTGCCTCAATCTCTCCCCTGCACTTGTTGACACGACAGAGCACGTACCAACATGAACGAAGGTCAGACGCATGCAAACGTCCGACGTCCGTACCGTGAAACACTCTTCACTAGGAGAGGCGGGCTTCTGATTGCTCTGTGGCCGTCCACCCGCGGACCAACTTCGGGGGACGTGGTGCCTTGGCCGCGTAAGAGCCGAAGCCAAGCTAGACTGCTTGAAATCACATCGGAATAAACCGCGGAGGGTACCTATAGACCTTTGTCCGGGAAGGGGTGACCCTAATCAGCTGAGAGCAACACAAGGCATAGCCGACCAGTATCTGCTGTAGAGGGGCTGGTTGTGACGGGGAGGTACGAAAGGAATCCGATCTCCTGCGAAATCTCTCCAGGGCTGAAGGGCTCAAACAGGCGCCAAACGCCAGCAAATCCGGTTTGGCAAACCCCAAAAAGTCCTGAAAGGGCTCAGCTTTCCAGGCACCTCGGACGCCACAGCGCGGCAGGGTTTGTTGTTGAGGATTCCGGGGATTTCGTACGGGTCTACTTTAAATACTTATGGCCGCTGGGTATTGCTCGGCACCGGCAGATGGAGGCTACGAAGCGGCTTGTGCTTGGTTTGACCTGTCACAACCAGTGGTCCTCATGATCAAGCACGCGAAGGACTGGCAGGTTTGTCAGGTCTGCCATGTATACTGTTTACAGCAGTCTCCCCACTCAATCAGTGGCCTGCCGCCGGCGAAATTCTGCATGGTCAGTTTTAATGTGGCGGTCGTTTAGTACTAGGGTACCCCCACCCCCCCCCCCGACCAAAAAGTTGCGGTCGGTTTAGTGCGGAACCGGTAGCCTGGGAGAGGGGTCAGGGGTCTGAGTGGCAGGGAATTGGGAGGTGCCGGGGTTTGGGGGCTGGCTTGGGTGCAGGGTCTGCGGTTCTGCGCGACTGCGCCGTCGGGGGTCGGGGGGGTCTGGGCCAGCGCCTGAAACCCTAAACCCTGAACCCTAACGAATCCTAAACTCCTAAACCCTATAACAAACCCTAAACCCTAAGCCCTAAACCCTTCCAAAGGGGGGTCGGTCCAGATTCGACCCAAAACTTAATTTTTTATGCAAACTTTAGTACTGGAGAGGCCTCTTTTGAGCTAGGGTCCAATCCCCCCCCCCCCAATAATCAAGGTATACTAGAATAGTACAGTAGTAGTACAGTAGTAGATAATAATAAGTGCAGTCAGTACACAATAGTAATACAACAGTAGTACAGTGGTAGTACAATAGTAGTACAGTAGTAGTACAATAATAGTACTGTAGTGCAATAGTAGCACAATAGTAGTACAGTAGTAGTACAGTAGTAGTACGATTATAGTACCGTAGTACAATAATAGTCCAGTAGTAGTACAGTAGTAGTACAATAATAGTGCAGTAGTACAATAGTAATACAACAGTAGTACAGTGGTAGTACTATAGTAGTACAGTAGCAGTACGATAATAGTACAGTAGTACAATAGTAGTACAG